GGTGTATGTGGCTGGAGCCTTAGCCACTTGAGCCACAGGCACTGAGCCATCTCTTTTTTTTCTTAATGGAATATTTCTCCTCTTGGGATTTGTCTAATATTTCCTCCTGCATACATTTAAAACACACATTCTCAGCTGGAATACTACAGAAGGGACAGTGTTGCCCTTCTTAGGACATCCTATCTGAAGGTGCACGATGTCCAATTGCACCTCATCGGTGATATTAAGTTTCAATTCCATGTCAAGGCATTGTCTGATTTTACTATTATTTAATTACTAATGCTTTCTTTACAACTAATAAGCAATTTGTAGGGAAACACTTTAAAACCTGTGCTCTACTTTCAACTTCTAAATTTAGCATACATTTTGATTATCACACAATGCACTCTTTGTCTCCCGTGGTTACAAAATGATTTTCTGAATCTGATCCTCCTTCTGTCCTCATGCACTTACTCTGTATATAGAAGCCCTCTCTATTCACCCATTCATTTGTTTATCAGTATTTTTACCAGTTATCAGTATGGACTTGTGAATTCCTATTTATTTCGATGGAACTGCCCTTAAATATTTTAATGCTCAAATTGTTTAGGTTTGGCCAGTGGAAGCCCCTTCAAGTTGTGCCCTGTGTTCTTTTGGCAAACCCTCATCATATTTTATTATTAATCCTTTCATTCTCTCTCACATAATAAGATGTTCTGGGTTCATCTTTTATTAATCATGGAATTAGTCATTTTTCCAAAAGCCTTAGTTTATTTTAATGGTACACAGTAGTAAATACCACAGTTTATTCATTTTTCTGCTAACTGACACTTGAAAAGTTTCCAGTTCTGGGATATAAAACCTTTTTTAGACCTTTGCAGTAACTTCTGTTGGGTATATAACCAAGACCTAGAATCTCCACTTTGGGGTATATACCCAACAGAAATGAGCATACAAGTTCACAAGAAATGGACAAGGATATTCAAAGTGGCTTTATTCATAATTCATATATGGATATGCATGCATATTTAGCTTGAGTAGATATCACCAAATCATTTTCCAAAGTACTCGTAACATTGCTTTGGTTTTGTCAGGGAAGAGGAAGTCATAGGCCTCCATAGGTGGCAAGAATAATCAGTAGCAGGGGTGATAATGATCCATTGCAATCCAAAGGTGTGTTATCCATGACCAGAAATGGCTAAATTGAAGGACAGAGAGGTTCTTTCAATATATAATGAGAGAAAAATGCTGAGACTTTGCCACCTGGCCCATTCTTGAGTATTTCCTTAAAGACTGCTGCTTTAAGATGAACAGAATGAAAGTTACTGAGGTCACTATTTCCCACTACCTTCAAAATAGTTTTCATCCCGGGGATGCCAGGAGCTCATTTGACAGCACCTAGGAAACAGAGGTCCAATTGCTAGGAGCATCCACTGTTAGAGAACATTAGCGTCACTGTTTTATTTTTAAAAGTGCTTCCCTAGAGGATGGAGGGATGTCCCAAGATTTCATTCACATCCTCTGGCTGGTAGCAACCTATTTATAACTCTGGAGAATTCACTAAACAGACTGCGAAAGTAAATATTTTTTAAACTGCACTGAGGGAGTCACTTAGTCTCAATTCAAGACATTTAAGATAGAGGGCTCCCTGCCACTTGGGGACAGCAGGCAGAGCAGGAAACTGCTGTAGGCTAGAGGAGAAGTGAGCTGGTGGTCTAGTATTGTGGAATGAGTGGTCAGTGTTGCCAAGAACAGCATGGACATGGCTCAGCCTCTGTAGCTTAAAGATTCCTCATCTAAAACATCTGTCCTACAGAGCTTATAGTGCATCATTAGAGTCAGAGAAGTAATTGAAGTACTCTGTAAAATGAAATGCTAAACAGAGGAAGCATCATGCATAAATTACACAGAGGGCTCTTAGGAACTTTGGTGAGTCTCTGAAAGCATGAGTAATTAGTAAAATGCATCACTGCAGATGTGTTTGAAGCCAGTACCTTCTGTAGGTGGACACTGCCCTAGTTTGAAGTGAGAAGAGGCCCTTTCACGTATGTGCCATCTCAGAGAGCCCTAGTGCAATGCAAAACTGCACAACCGGGGTGGTGCCTGTGGCTCAAAAGAGTAGGGCACCAGCTCCATATACTGGAGGTGGCAGGTTCAAAGCCAGCCCTGGCCAAAACCTGCAAAAAAACAAAAACAAAAAACTGCACAACCATACGTGATAACTCTAGAACAGTGATTTTCAACTGGTGTGCTGCAAGCGGATCTTAGGTATGCCTCAAAAAATTGTAAAGATCATTAATTAAATTATTTCCAAAAGAAGTCCAAAGCACAGTAAGTATATTCTTTTTTTTACTTTTTTTTGATCAACATAATTTTTTAATAATTCAGTGTTTTTTATTATATTCACAAACATCACCACTATGTATTACACTGTGCGTAATTTTTATCACCCCGAAATGGAACCTCATACTCATTAGCAATCACTCCACATTCTCTACTCCCTCAATCCCTGATCATCTTTACTTTTTTTAAAAATTCAGTTTAATGTGAGGGCACAAACAATCAGGTCAAAATATTTTAATTTGTTATATCTTGTGTTCTAACCTGTATAGAGTTGGAACACATTCTTCTTAGTGAAGTATCACAGGAATGGAAGAGGAATTATCCAGCGTACTGAATACTAATATGATGCCAGTAGACGATCTAATTCAATCCACATAAGAGAAAAACTCATTTCAGCTCAAGCTGGGGGGAAAGGGAATGGGGGAGATGTTCCCAATGAATGGGCATGGCATGGGGATGTTTGATCAATGTAATTTAAGTGTGCAGCGGTAGTTTAACTATAGGTTCAAGTGTGCCGTGAGATAAAAAGAGGTTGAAAAACGCCGCTCTGACAGATGGCTAAGAGTGATCGTGACCCCCATTGCTGCACGTTTGCGTTAACCTCTGTGGCCCTCTGCTTCCTCCCTGCCAGGCCTCTCCGCTGATGGTGGTGCCAAACGCCAGGAGCACCTCTCCCGCTTCTCCATGCCTGACCTCAGCAAAGACTCTGGAATGAACGTCTCTGAGAAGCTGAGCAACATGGGCACTCTTAACTCGTCCATGCAGTTCCGGAGCGCAGAGTCCGTCCGCAGCCTGCTCTCTGCCCAGCAGTACCAGGAGATGGAAGGAAACCTCCACCAGCTCAGCAGCCCCCTTAGCTACAGAGACCTGAAGTCCCACGGAAGGATGCATCAGAGCTTTGATTTTGATGGGGGAATAGCAAGCAGCAAACTGCCGGGGCAGGAGGGTGTGAGGGTCCAGCCCTTGAGCGAGCGCACCCGGAGAAGAGCCACTTCGCGAGATGACAACCGCCGCTTCCGACCTCACCGCTCCCGGCGCTCCCGGCGCTCTCGCTCCGACAACGCCCTCCACCTGGCCAGCGAACGCGAGGCCATCTCTCGGTTAAAAGAGAGGCCCCCTCTGCGAGCCAGGGAGGACTATGACCAGTTCATGCGCCAGCGGAGCTTCCAGGAGAGCCTGGGGCAGGGGTCCCGAAGGGACTTGTACGGCCAGTGCCCGAGGACTGTGTCGGACCTGGCCTTGCAGAATGCCTTTGGAGATCGCTGGGGACCCTACTTCACTGAGTATGATTGGTGTTCCACGTGCTCCTCCTCTTCGGAGTCTGACAATGAGGGCTACTTCCTGGGAGAACCCATCCCCCAGCCGGCCCGCCTGCGCTATGTGACAAGCGACGAGCTGCTGCACAAGTACAGCTCTTATGGCCTCCCCAAATCTTCCACGTTAAGTGGCAGAGGACAGTTGCACAGCAGGAAAAGACAAAAGAGCAAAAACTGCATCATTTCTTAATATGATTGAGATCAGGGAATGGGAGGAGATGGGAGCTGAGAATGTAAATTCAGGAACTTGCACTGTTTTAAGTTTTAAAGCGCTTTGGGGGGTGGTTCATGCGGGAGAAAGGGAAAATGCTCTCAGCTGATGGAGGCGGAGTTGCAGATTGAGTAACTAGGTAGTCACAGTTCTTGGCATGTTGAATTATAATTTGCACATTTCACTTTGGAAACACAATAGACTCTGTGGAGGCCAGGGTTGGTCACCCCCTTCCCATTGGTTCTGTGTCGAGTTGCCACTCATTAGATGGCAAACTGTTCCCTGCTCGCTTAAATCCTCCTCTCTGGTTCTCATACTTTTAGGACCCTTTTTTTCAGTAAGTAATTTGTTTATTAGCCAGGACCCAAGACTAAGTTATTTACATGTCCACTGTAAATGCAATGTAAATGAGAATTCTGATAAAATATTTTTGTATTTTGTAATATCAAAGGAATTTCTATATCGTAGGACTCAGTGGGGACTTGCATGCACAACCACCATCGTCTCTGAGTAGTATTATATTACAAGGTGGGCCTGGACCACCTTTTTTTTTCTTTTCTATACAAATTTGTTATGTGTCAGTGAGACCTTTTTCAAAGGGATATACTCAATTTGGCTTTTTGTGGCTGAAAAAATAACTATTATACACAAAGCGTTTTATGCTCCATTCCATCTTTAAGGAGCCATCCTAAAGTCTGTTCCCACCCTTAGTAGAAGTTCTCCTCTACAAAGTGGTAGTATTTTTCTTTTAATGCAAATGTAACTTTCGCCAATTAGAGAAACCAGTCAGTGTCAGTAAAGTTCTGTGAGAAATGTCATCCCTGCTGGGAATGTTGAAGTTTTGCTTAATGTTGATCTATCCCTTGGGGAAAGTAAAAGTGACTGTGAGTGGTGCCGTTGTGTGATGTCAGCATGACGTTGTTTTGAATGTGGCATTATGTTCTGGTGCTCATGTTTTCTGGATTGTGTTACCCGCTTTCCTTTACCAAGGCAGACGGAGCTGCTGCCTTAGCCTGACAACCGGTTGTCCTCAAAGCAAATGAGCTTAAACATTTGGAATGGAGGGACAGAGAGGTTCTGAGGGGGTCTGGGAGGGATGGTGTGTTGCATGTTATGTGTGGAGAAGGAACAAGGCGGTTTGCAAACAGAAAGCAGACAAGGGTAGAAGTCGAAGGGGTCTCTGAAGGAAGGAACAAGGAGCACTTCTGGGAATGAAATAGAGGAGAGGTGACAACCACCTCAAATAGCCCCCAGTGCTTGTAGAAAGAAGCCAGTTTAATAGGATCAATAACCAGAGGATCTGGGTTGCCCAGGAAGAATGAGCTGCTGAGGAGATTTCAGTGTCATGACTTTGTTAAAAGGGGCATTTTCCATGTTGAACTTGGAGGACTGTTGGTCAGGCAGAAAATGAGCTCAAAAGTGAGTTTGCTTAATGAAGACATTTAACGGTTGTGCTGTTTATAGTAAAATAAAACTTCCTCCCTTGCTTCAGTTAAAAATGAAGCGCTTGCTTTTTCTCCATTCTCCTCCTCCTCCCCTTAATGGATTGTGGCAGTCAAAATAATCCATCGGAGGACCCACCTTTAGTGAGATGTACTGTCGACATAGTACACGGTGTGTCTCAGTGGTCGTCTGCCATGGTGAGGTGAGCGTGGTCTCTTTTCAGTATAGTAGTTAACATTTTCTAGTATTTTTTATGGAGAGAATGTACAAAGTGGCTGTCAGACACCATCCCAAGTGGGTCTGGGAAAGGAAGGCTATAAAGGATATGGTTAATGGCACTCCATTCAGGATGTATTAAAATAATTTGCTTTTCAGGTATTAATATGACATTTGTCATTGTTACTGATTTAAAAAAAAGCAATGCAAATGTTGGTTGTGGCTGTTTTCCGCATGCTATCTTCATATCTAAATGCTTCATTAATTATCCGAGCCTCCGGAGAATTAACTCTATTACGTTTGTATAGTAAGTTTGTAAACTGCTTGGCAAACTGATTAAGAAATAACGTATAACACCATGCTACTAAAGTGGCAGGTTTCTGGTAGAAATCGGATGAGTCTAATTTGGAGTTTTGAGTTCTTTGATTGATGAGAATCAAAAGGCATTTCTGAAAAAAAAGAAGGGGGGGGGAGTAGATCACTTAACTTGGCAAATGGCTGAAAATATGTCTGTCCTCTGTGGCCCCAAATCTAATGAAAGAAATTCTCCTGGTAAAAGTTGTTTGCTAATTCTGTTCTTCTTAGAGTACCTCTTACATTTCCCACAAAGGGGCTTTAACCCCATCAGCAGAAGGAAGGTGACCTAGAAACTGACACATAACCAGTACCCAACGAAGGCATAAGTCATAAGGCATAAGTAATTTCAGGTCTAGCTACCCAGAGAGCAGCCAGGGACTGAACTCATCATAGCCTGAGAAACATTGAGATGCAAGGCTCAGGGTCAAACTAATTAGCAAGATCCCCTCCATCCATTCTACCAGTGCACATCTCTTTTCCCCAACCCCACGTGCACCTAGGTACCTTCCAAAGAATGCCAGAGGAGGAAAGGCCAGTTTATTACCATGATGGTGACAACTCCAAGTTAACGCCCTGTTGAAGGGAGGACGTCACCTGTTAGTGGTAACTTATACATAACATCCCAGAATTTCATTCCCCCAAATTTAATGCATTCTTTCCCAAGGCAAGAACTTAAGGTCTTCACCTGATTCCTCCCGCTATCATCAGCCTTATCTCTTACCAGTCAAGTTTCTCCTGTGTAGGGGGCCTGTACTCACTTTTTAGATCATCATTTCATCTTCAGTAGACTAATTTTCAGAATAATAATCTTTTCCCAGTGTTCTTTCTTCTCTAATGCATGGCTGTTTTATTTTGGTTTTGTTTTTTCCTACTTCTCCTCCCAACACTGGTCTTGTCTGTTGGTTAGAACCACAGCTTTGGAATTCAGTTCATTTCCTATCACTGCTCAATTTGGCAGCAGCATAGCTGGCTCTTTCCCAAGACAAAAAAGGGTAAGTCATTGCCACTTTCCTGAATGGCCCTGCCAATACACATGTAACCTTGATACTGTGAAAAGGTTTCTTAACAGACAGGTGGCATTGAGCAAGGCATTTGGGGACCCCTCCTTCTGTCCAGTAGTTCTGGGATCTCTACCAAGTGTGAAGGTGAATGAGGTGAAGGAGGTCAGAGCTGTGCTTCCTGGTTTCTCACATGTCTAAGGGAGAAGTTCTGAGGTTGGTTGTTTGATGCCTCCTTTCTCTTTTTGCCTTTTGCTCCCCTTTCTTCCTTTCCAATCCCAACCAGCTAAGCAAACAGGTGATTTCGTGTTTCTAACATCGGACCTGGAGGCAGCACTTTCTCTTCCCAAAGGAGTCTCCTGCACTGTAACAAGATTAAATCTGCTTTCTAGTTCTTGGGTGCTGCCTGCTGTGGTTGAGTTCAGGTGGAGCCAGTGACGGCACATACTGTGGTGTGTGCTCTGCGCTCGCTGTAACCTGAGCAGATGTTGTGAACCCCCAGCGCGTCCCCATGTGCTATCCCAGAGAAGATGGATGCAGCCTCAGAAATCACTACAGTGCTCTGACCAGCCAGCACCAGTTGATCAGAACTCATCTTATTTGTCTGATAACAAATCTTATTTGTGAAATGATTCTTATCTGCCTTTCTGCCCTTGGCTCTCATGCCATGGAACAAAAAACAACACACCAGACGTTTAGGAAGCATTATTCATAAGTAATTCAGAGAGTGCAATTTCCCTGCCCTTTGGATGATGGGGGGCCTAGAGGAAGCCGACTTCTTAGGCTAAAGGCTAACAGATGTCTTCGGCCTCTGCCAGTTATAGGCAGACTTCTGTTCACTATGTAGAGGTCAAATAAGACTCCATCTTATTCTTCTTCTAATCCCACCTTCTAACAAGAAATAACACAAATATGTAAATTCTGAAAAGAAGTGCTCTTTGTGTATTTCTAACAGAAACCAGATGCTAATGCCTAAGAAGGAGGATCCATCTTTGACTAAGGAAAGTGGAAAATTAAACCAGGTATCTGAATACTTCGTGCCAGAAGCGTTGCTAATAGCAACTGTTTAGCACCTTCAGGTCTCTTTAAAATGGGCTCTGCCAACAGCATTCCACATGCAGGACTCAGTAGCCAAGCCTCCACTGCCGACTTTGAAGGCACTTTCAGAACTCCACCTTTTGAGGTATATTTCTTTAAGCACAAGAAAAGTGGAAATGATGGGACCTTTGCCTTGTCTCCAGAAGTTTATCTCTCTGAAGACACTAGACACCAGAGCTTGTTTGTATGACCATTGGGAAGTAGTCAGCAAGGTAAAAATCATGAAAGGATTGGATTCTTTTTCCATTTTCTCATAATTATAGCCCAGTCAACACAAGACTCCCACAAAACATGACTCAATCTTGGGAGCAATACTATTTTATAAGCTTACGTCCTGCTGACAAAACTAGCTTTCCTCAAGGGAATAAAAAAGGAGAAGGGGAAAGTCACACAGTGTTAGGAAAACATTTCTGTTATTTAGACATGATGAATCTATAGGATAGAGAAGTCGTCTTGTTCTATCCTGAGCATTTTCTGAGCTATTCCTTCACTCTACTCAGTATTCGGCCTTGGATGTTCACTGACCAAACTTTCTAAATTTTTCAGAGAGAGTTACTTGCCAATAAGGTCTGTTCTCAAATCTTAGCTTGATTTTTCCCATGAAGTGTTATGATTTTATCAGTGGGCCTGATGTAACATTCTAAGCTTCTAAGGCCTGCAAGTCCTCTTTCTTTAGCAGATTAAGACTTCAGCAGGATTCCTCTCCTAAACACATTCTTTCCTGCACAGGATTGCTTTGCCCATCTCCTGCTTTAATTTTCAAGTGCGTAACAAACCTCGAAGGGCCTGAGAAGGTGAGGCAGGCCAGAGTCTGTGTTATGTGTCGAGTGTCAAGCTATTTGTTAAGAAGGTCTGCAACAGGCCTTTGGTGTGGGCTCTGCCAGAGACTGTTCTGAACACTTTGCTTGAGATCTGTGCCCTGTAAAATGAATATGATGTTTTACTGATGTCTGTAATACATTTGTAAACTTCCAATAAATTTGAATAAACGAAATGTTGCCATTCTTCTCGGTCCTTTCTCACTTTCTAGATTTTTGGAGAGTGGGGTGATCTTTGCTTTTGAGCATCTTAACAAAGGGAAAGGAATGAGATTTACTGTGAAAGATGGACCTGATTATTTAAAGCAGAGTTTCTCAACCTTGCCTTATGGACATTTGAGCCAGTTAATTCTTTGTTCCAGAGGACTGTCCCATGCATTAAAGGACATTTAGTGACATCACTGACCTCTGCCCACTAGATGCCAGTAGCACCCCCCCACCAAGTTGTGACAACTAAAAATATCTCTATGGGCCTCTCTCATTAAGATAACTACTATTTAAAAAAAAAAGAAAGAAAGAAAATAGCAAGTGTTGGTGAGAATGTGTAAAAATTGGAACCCTGGTCCACTGTCAATGGGAATATAAAATGGCATAGCACTATGGAAAACAGTACGGCAGTGCCCCCCAAAATTAAAAATAGGATTACTGCCATATGATCCAGCAAAAATTCTGGGATATACCCAAAAGAATTAAAAGTAGGGTCTCGAAGAGATACTTGTACACACATGTTCATAGCAGCATTATTCACAATATCCAAAAGGCGGAAGCTTATGGATGAATGGATAAACAAAACGTACATACATATGATAAAATATTGTTCAGCCTTAAAAAGACAGACTTTATCCTCGCTGCTGCAATGTGGATAAACCTTGAGGACATAATGCTAGGTAGATAAGCCAGTCACAAAAGGACAGATACTGTATGGTTCCACTGGTGTAAGGTACCCAGGATCAAATTCAGAGACACAAAGTAGAGGAGTGGTTGTCGGGGTGGAAGGGAGAATGGAGAGTCCTTATTTAATGAGCACAGAATTTCAGTGTTGGAAAATGAAAAAGGTTCTGGAGATTGGTTCCAAAACAATGTGAATAAACTTATTACTGATCTACACATTCAAATATGGTTAAAATGGTAAATTTTATATTTATTTTGTCACAATTAAAAAAGTGTCTCCACACATTGCCAAGTGTCCCCAGAGGGCAAAATCACCCCTAGTTGAGAACCGCTGGTTTAAATGCATTGCCCACTTAGTACCCTTGCTCCTTGAGAATTCTGGAAACTTTTCCTATTGAAGCCATACAGTTAACTTTCAGTTGTTAGCAAGAACCAGAAACAGTAGATGACCCTAAAAATATTTGCTTACTTTTAAGCAAATGGTAAGTGGTTTATCTGTAGAGTTATATGTCATGCACTGCTTAGGATGGTGTTAAAATTAACTTGGAGCCAGGACCAGGGCAGCATGTAAGTCCATTTTTCCCATGCCTGACCACAAGATTTGGGAGTTTCTGGATGCTCCGAAATCATTTATTCATCCATTGGACAATTTGTGTTGAAGACTTACTCTATGCCAGG